GCAGAAAAGAAGAGGGGGCCAGAGGCTGAGGGCAGGCAGCCGGAGCCGATCCGCTCTGCCGTCCCAGGCTATGAACCCTCCAGTGGCGATGACAGCGACAAGTCTGATGACGACAAAGCTGACCAGTGGCCAGCAGACACAGAGTTTTATACCTCAGAAGTATCCTGGTCATCTTTCCATAGCTGACTTCCTTGGGGGTCGGTGGCATGTAGACATTGGGAAGCCAACTTCTGGCCTCCAATGCGTGTCCTTCTTGATGTTTTCTCCGGAGGCCGTGCCTAGGAAGGTGGATCTTGGCCCCTGTGTGTGGTGTCTGTGTGGGGAGCAGAGGTGGGGTTACCCCTCTGAGAACGTGTCTCACACGACACGAGCTCAGAGAGCAACAGCTCAGTGAAGAGCACGGAGTGGGGCAGAGACCTGCGGATCAGCCTTAGCCAAACAAGCTCACCCTTCGGTGCCTTAGTCTTCCCGTCTGCAAAAACAGAGCAATACCACCTTCTTTTCTCAAATGCTTTGAGATCAGCTCTTGGGAGAAAAAGGAGCAAGAAATCCTGGAGAAATCCTGGAGCAAGAAATCCAACACACTTGCCTGCTAGCGGTGCTTTCCTCTGTCGTGGCAAGGGACACTCCAGATGCTGTTTTCCATAAGCATTGCATCTACGTCAGAGATCCTCACTGCAAGCATGCCAGCCTGAGAGGACAGCCGCTCCTTCCTGCACGGTAAGGTCGGCACCGGCTTCCATTTCTGCACCCAGGTCTCTCAACTTTGGAAACACTAAGGGGATGGTGCTCCGAACGCAGGGAGCTCGTACGAGGCTTGGTGTGAGCAGCCTTAGCAAAGCACTGTAGCATCCAGCATTCTCACGTGGAAAGGGGCCGTTTTGGTGATACCGGGCCAGGAGGGAGGAAGGAGAGGGGAAAGGAACAGGTAAAATTATATAGAGGAGGGAGAGACTTACTGCAGTTGGCTCGACGAAGTGCAGAGCCCCAGATCTCAAAACCAGGCAGTTCCACCAGATCACCAGCAACTTGATGAACTCAAGCCTATCAGGTAAAAGGATAGCCCAGGGAAGACTTGTTAAAAGTCTTGAAAAATCCAGGAGAATGCCCCCAATTAAGATCCTATGAAGTACAGCACTTCAGCTTCCCCTTCCCTCCCGAGCAGGAGCCCAAGGCATTGAGTGCTCACTTGTGGGCTCACCTCATGTCTATCAGTCTCACACGTCCAAAGTTAAGGTCCTTTATGTACTTGCAGGATTGGAGCCCAAGACTTTACAGTTAACTTGAGATCAACTTTAAAGTTCAAATTAAGTTAGAAATAAACCATGTTTATTCAAGTATTCTATCCTAATATAGCGTGGGAGTACTGAGAATCAGACAACAGCAATTGTTTTGCAGCACACATTTCTACAAACTCCATTATTACTTTTAGTATATTTTTGTATTGTGCATTTTATGCTCTGAAAAAGGAACATGGCTGGGAGTACACTGCCAATGTTATAAACTGTTTCCTTACCATGACCTGTTCCAAACAGTGCATTGCCTGCCAGATGGCCAGACTTAGGGTTTTTTAAATTTCAGTTCAAAGTAATCATTCTTACTGTCTTTTGTAAACTGCCACTGTTCCAATGAATTTGTATCACTTGACTGTGTGTGAATAAAGATATGGCCAACAGGAAGAAGCCAGGAAAATATGACAATAAAGCGTGTTGTTATTTAACAAGAGTCTTAAACAAGAGCTGGGATTCAGGCCCAGTCGGCCAGCACGAGTTCTGACTCCTCAGCCATGGGGTGAGTGCTCTGAGTTTCTATTTACTGCTTGAAGGTAAGCGCAAGTGAAAAAAAATTTGCCAAATCTGATGCGTCCTTTCTATTTATACCATGTTATCATCTGACTGAGTTTTCCCAAGTCTTTTGCAATCCCCTGCAGTATGTATTATTGAAATGGTATTTTTCTGGTGGGGGCACAGCTTAGAGTGCATCAACAAACCTTATGACCTAAGCAGATGGTCTTAGGTTTTAAAGCAATAAGTACACCGAGTTCTGTTTTTTCCATCCCTCTCCAAGCTTAGTTCATAACTCCGCGCAGCAGTGATTGTTTTCACAATGCCTCCCACCCACCAGAAGGGTGTACATGCTATGCAAACAGAGAATGACCTTAAAAATAAACAGCCATTAAAACAGTTCACAAGCCAAAAATAGCCCAGCTGCTGAATCCCCGTCCATAGCTGGCGTTCCAGTTCCCTGCTCCTGAGGCAAAACTCCCAGTTTCTTCCTAGTAACTGGCTCCAGAAACATATTTCAATTTTGAGCCTACTCCTCAGTTCTCTTAGAGATCAGCTTTTCTTTATCTTATGTGTCCAAAGGTCTTATTATTATAAGAGCTATGAACTGTTTTTATCCACTAATGAAGGACAGGCACGCCGCTAACAAATGCCTTCTTGTTGAGCAAGAGCTTTTCTTAATCACAGCAAGAAAAAAATGCACAAAACCCAAACAAACTCCGCCAAAACCAGCCCAGCCCCTTTTTTCTGCGCATGCTGTAGTTGATGGCCTTTCGGGAAACGCACACACCTTCCAGCAACTGGTACGTCCCCATTCCTTACAGGAGGTGGGTATGGAGAAGAGTCAGTGGTGGAAAAAATGTGACGCTCTTGTGAATGATTGAGAATAAGGGCGACTGGCATCACACATGCGCGCTTCTGTTTTGAAATGTGTTTTTGGAGCCGAAGAGGTGCACGTGGGCACTTGCACTTCCAGCAGCTTCTTAATGCTCACTGCCTCATGTGCTTTCCAGTGCCTTCTCGCAGGGCTTTC